GGTGCTGGTGAGAACGGGAGGAACCCCCCCCCTTGGCAGGACAGGCAGGACGGTGGAAGCTGGTATTCGTCTGCTCAACACGTCCCCAAATGCCCAGTTGCAGGAGAAAAGAGTAGAAACCGCAGCCCCGAGGCACCTCAGCCACAGGGGCAGAGAACTGGCTCCCAAACTATTTACACTCCGTCCAGGCACCCTGGTGTGCAGCCCGGGCACACCCGGCTGAGAGCAGTGCTGGGGCCACAGGGAAAAGAGCATTTGCCTGTTGGAAAGAACACAGGAGCAGCTCCAGAGCCTGAGACCCACAGCCAGGACGGACAGACAGCAGCAGCCCCCCTCCAGCCGTCAGGGGGAGGAGGAGAGGGGGAGCAGAGCACTGGCTGGGCCCGATGTCTCTCAGAAACAAGCTAAAGCTGATCAGTTTATTCACAGGGCCAGGGCTCCAAGCCGTTGCTGGACTCAAAGCCTCAAGCCTGAAGCACATCTCACGTCTGCAGAGGAGGCTGCACAGGCCGATCCCCTCCGCGCTCAGCAGCTGCTTCGAAACTGGTTCTGGGTGAGGGCTGAGCTCCATCCGAGCCTCCACCAAGTGACAACCTCCAACACGGTGCAAGAGGGAGACCCGAGAGCGCAGCCGCTTCATCCCCACGCTGCCTGCGCAGCAAACTGCAGCCAAAACCTGCCCAGGCCCCGCCTGCCCCTCGCAAGAGGCTCCTCTCCGCCTGGCTCACAGGGTGCTCTCCAGTGTGTTGTAGTTGTCCTTGAAGCTCTTCAACTCCAGGAAGTGTTTGGCACGTTTGCTCTTCTGGTTGGAAGGCAGGTAGGTGACCTGGATGGTGGCGGGGTTGGAGACTTCAGGGGAGAGGGTAAGGTCCTTCGCTGCTGACTGGTGCTGCCGTTGGCTGCTGCCTGCCCGGGCCTTGGTCCTGCAGGCAAAGGAGATGCTTAAAGCACAAGCAGGACCATGGACTGGAACCAGTACCAAAACCAAAGCCACACCAACAGATGGACTGCAGGGAGTAAGTACACCTGGAAGGACAGAGAGAGGCTGGGTGCTGCCCCAGAAGCGTCTCTGTTCACACCTCAGCGATGGGCTGCTGGGGCCCATGAAGCCACCATAGAGCTCAGCCACTCCCAGGGGCAGGGATGCTTAGACTCATAGAACAGTTAAGGGTTGGAAACGACCTTAAGATCATCCAGTTCCAACCCCAACACTCACATGTTTGCCAGCTCGTTCAGAGCATCCTGGTACTTGAGATACTCCGGTTTCCCAAAGACCTGGACACAAGCAGAAAGGAGGCTGTGAGCAGCAGCAGCAGCGGCTGCAGCTGGGCCCGGGCAGGGCAGGGCAGCGCCAGCACTCACCCCGGTGCCGTAGCGGGCGCTCTCGTACCCATCCAGCAAGGTGTCGATCAAGGCTTTGCGGATGCCTTTGAAGGAGGTGCTGGAGTTCCGTAGTTCCAGCAGGTAGGCACAGAAGTTCTTCCCTATTAAGGACTTGGGGTACCGGCCCTCTGCGTAAAACGGGATCTCTGGAGAAGGAAAAGGCACCACATGAGCAGCTGAAGTGCAGGTACAAACGCTTCTGCTCGCCTGCAGACATCAGGCCTTGGAGCTGATTTAACCTCCCACCACATCTGCTGCCTCCTTCCACCACCCGAGCAGAGTCAACCCTCAGAGCACCAGCCCTGGGCGGCATAAACGACTGCTGTTTCCAAACAAGGACCTTGAGCACGATCACGAGGCTGCTGGCCCCTTATTTCCTCCTCACACGGTCTCTCGCCACCTTTCCTTCCCCCTCTCCCGCCCTGAGCTCCCTTACCAGATGTCCTGATCGCATCCAACGCCTTCATCCTGTACAGGTAGTTGTAGCAGCCTGGCAAAGAGAAACGCCAGCGTGAAAGCTCTGCAGAACTTCGGAGGGAGGCGGGGAAAGCAGAGAGGAGCAGAGCGCAGAGACACCACCTCGCGTTGGCTCCCCGGCTTTGCCAGGGCACAGCCACCAAGGGG